GGCCATGTGGGAGTCCAGTCCCCGCAACCACCACGCCACCTGCTGCCCCCCCCTCCAGTTTTTGTTTGTTTGTTTGTTTGTTTTTTCAATGAGAAGGTAGGTCATATCCTCCCTTGGGCAGACCTCTCCCATGGCTCCCCATTGCCCTCGTGGGACAGCCCACACCCCGGCCTGTGGCTGGGAGACTGCCCAACCTTCCCATCTCCCCTCTATCCCTCGTTCCCTCTCTCCTCCCACACCCTGGCTCTGGGGGGAGGCCTGGCTGGGTTAGAATAGGTGGGCTCTGTTGTCCCCACAGCTGCCAACTGACCCCCCAAGGACCCTGGGAATCTGAGATTATAATGGAGCCCTGGCAGGGTCAGCAGATGGCAGAGTGGTTGAGGCATGGACTTCCACCCGGACCTGGTGGCATGGAACGCACACCAGGCACCTGTGTGTGTGTGTCCAGAATCCCGAGAGGAAAAAAATGGAGGAGAAGGGATTGCGGCATGGCCATCCCCCCCTGGAGGGTGATTTCTCACTTCCTGTCTCTCTGTCTCCCCTGAGCGCACACACCCTTTAGTAAAAATCTCTCAGGAAATGGAGCCTTGGGGTCAACTCTGTAACCTGGTCATTAAGGCAGGCGGATCCCCCGTGGCCATCTGTGCAGTTCCAGGTCTGGAACCTACGGCTTGAAAAACACGCCCAGAATGTGTGTGTGCGTGTGCCCCGAATCCCGAGAGGGAGAGATGGAGGAGGGATTGTGGTGTGACTACACCCCCTTGGGGACGGTGCTTTCTCCTCTCCCTCTCTGAGGGGCGGACGACCCGTCTATCCAAAAAAAAATAATGGGAGGAGTCTAGCAGGTGGCACAGTGGTTAAGGTGCTGGACTCCCACATGGCTGGCTGCAGTTCGAGTCCCGGCTCTGGCAGCTTGCTTTCTCACATTCGCTCTCATCTCTCTCTGGTGAGCACATGTGTCCTATTGCAAGTTCTTTAGTTTTTTTTTAATTGTTTTTTAAAGAATTATTTTATTGAACTTTATTTTGACTAGAGAAGGACAGAGAGAGAAAGTGAGAAAGGAAGCCATCTGGTCCGGGACTCGAACTCTGGTCATTCATGTGGGAGTCCTGCGCCCTTAACCACCACGCCACCTGGTGGCCCTATAGATACGTAATATTTATGAAAAGAAAAAAGAGAGAAATGGAGCCTTGAAGGCCCAGGTTTGGGTAGAGGGAGGCAGGTCACCCTGAGTGGACGTGAAGTCTCTGCACCCACGTAGCTTCGCGTTCAGCTAAGGAGGAAACAAGAAAGGCCCAGAGTGGGGGAAGATTGGTGCCTCTAAGGAGCAGAAGGGAGTGGCCAGGGGTGTAAGAGGGTCCTTTGGGTGGGGAGAAGGGTACCAAGGGCCAGGCTGGCGATAGCGCCCGAGATGTCAGAGAAATGGCTGGGGAGGGAGGGAGAGGGCTTGCATGCTGGAAAGGATTCCGAGTGGGTCGGGGCCAGGAGCCTGAGGCATCCCTCCCCCATCGGTGGTCTGTTGGTCTCCCCCTCGCAGGTGACCCTGATCCCCACGTTCGACTCGGCGGCCATGCACACGTGGTATGAAGAGACGCACACCCGGCACCAGGCCCTGGGCCTCGTGGTGCTGGGGAGCAACAGCATGGTGTCCATGCAGGACGACGCCTTCCCCGCCT